CCATTGCTTGCTCGCACCGTCGACCTTTACACCCGCGAGCAGCGCGTGGTGTTCCGATGCGACTCTAAGCGTGGTTGATTCGGTGGCATTGGCCAACTCCGAGATAATGGTGGTATAGGGCACACGCCGAGGCGTCTGGCCCATGTGATAAAGGGTTTCCGTGCCGGTGACCTTTTGTAGGGTCTCTATATTTTTGATAAAAGCGGCATTGCTTGGCACGTTCGGGTTAGCGGCGGCGGTGTAGAAATTGCTCAGCAGTGTGTGTTCTTTACCGGTGCCGATGGCAAGGGCCATGGCGTTGGAAATGCCTGCACATTCGCCCTCGGAGCCCATATTGACCAGGCTGAGATAGAAGTCCTGGGGCATCCGATGCAAATGCCCGCCTGCTGCGGCGATATCTTTTTCAAAGTACGCCAGGCGGTGGAAAGATTCCGCGATAGCTTTTTGCTTGATGGCTTTGGCCAATGTGCCCATGTCTTCGGGAGAGAAACAGTACTGCGACAGGCGCTGCAGATCGGGAATGTTCAGGTTGGGTGAATAACCGGGAATATCACTCGGATTGCCGTAGTCGAAACCTTGGTCAAAGGCTGCACGGTTTTCCTTACGCATGCCGTGGTTATATTTGGCGATAAAGTTCTTATGCTCCTCCTTGGTCAGGCGGGTGACAGCGCTTTGAGCGTTTTCAGGCTGGAGCAGGTTGTAAATGCGGTCGAAAAAGCCGTGGAGCGGCGTATCTCGGGTTGGCGGCACCGCAGGTTTGAAGTCCGCCAAGGCGGGGCCGTACGGCTGTTGCCGGGCAACGTCGTAGGCATGCCATTGGTTGTTGTGCAGCACCGCGGTGGTCTCCACGGTTCGGTCCGCGAGGGTGAACGTACCCGCCGATAGCGTGGCGTAGCCTTTGTTGGCCCGGACCAAGTCATACGCGCCCGTTGCGCCGCGCAGGGCATTGACCCCTTGGGTGACCAGGGACACCCCTGTGTTAGCCACGGCACGTGTGCCTTTGGCAATCGTTCGCCCTACCGCCTGCGTAACCCGTGCAGCCCCGACCAGTAAGTCGCCGGCCCCGCTCACGGGGTTGAAGGCGCCGATGGCGGCGGCACCGATCACCTTCGCCGTGTTGAGGGCTTTGACCGTCGTCGACGCCGAACTCTTGACGGCCTTGGCCACTTTGCCCGCCGTTCCCACTCCAGCGGTCACGAAACTGAACATGTCCAGTGCCAGGTCCGTGGCGCCATCGGCATAGTTGCCATTCTGAAAGTTGACGATAGCGGACCTGAGCGGCACCAGGTTCAAGAAAAAATCCGCGAGCTTCCATTCCACCTCATTTTGCTTGTCCAGAGGGGTGACCCCCTTGGCTTGCTTGACCACCTGTGCATTGTCGATATCGAGGTGTTCCACAAACGCATCGGCAATCGACTGAGTGCGCGCCGAGGTAAAGGTGGCTGGTGCCAGCGTGCCATCCGCGGGCTTGAGCGCAAAATCGCCGGCTGCGACGCTCTTGGGCACGAACGCCTCAATTTTTTCTTCGTGATTGGCGTTGCGCTCCCGGCGCCGGGTCAGTTCGCTCTCGGGCACCTTATTGATCGTGCCGCGCTTACTATCCACTTCATACACCGTCACGCCGTCCGCGCCGGTGGCCTTGATCAACAGCTTTTGATCCGTGTGGTGCAGGGTGCGGGAGGTAAAATCCAATCCCAGTTCATAGGTTTTCTTCTGGAAGAACTCCAGCTTGCCGTGCTCCAGATTCTGGCGGTCGGCGGGCGGCAACTGGGAGACAAGCTGTTTGACCAGCGTCCCCAAGCCCTGCTTGTGTGAATCGATGGTCTGTTTGAATTGCTCGTTGAACGCCTTGTTCACGCCCAGCGCGAGCGGCGCGTTGACCGCTGCGATAGGAATGCGCGGGTCGGTGGTTTTCCAGGTGTAATCGCGCAGCTCCATCATGGCGATGTCGAGCAGCGAGTACCGCCCGGCCGGTCGTCGATTCGGGTCATAGAGCGGCCCCTGATAGGGGGTGCTGGTATCGTCTACGCTCAGCAGTTTTTCTTCGAACGGTACGTTATCGCCAAAGGCCTCGCGCAGCTTTTGCAACGCGATCTGTTTGCGGCTGGGCAGCTCGCTACTCAGTTGGGCCGAGGCGTTGAGTCGTTCGGATTGCTGGGCGTTATAGGCGCTTCTGGCGCTGTCCAGCTCATCAGCGGTGTAACTGTCGTTCTCGCGCTTGGGCAACATACCGTTGACCACCGACCAGTCCACTAAAGCCCCTCTCTGCGCACCTTCGGGGGCCAACGCGCCGGACCCTTTTGCTGCCTGCATGACTTGCGCAAACGTCATATTGGCTACCGTCCCCGGGGCTTGCGCCTCCACTGCCGCTGCGGCGATACAGAAACTGGCCCAGGCCTGGCTGCCATAGGTGAGCGCGGCCGGTATCTCTTTGACGAGCAGTTGAGGCGCCACCCGCGCCAGTAGCAAGTGCGCGGCGAACCTCGCTGTTGCATGGGTGGCGCGACCTTCCTTGACCAAGTGCAGGCTGAGCCCGTTGACGATATCGGACGGCGCCTTGCCCCAGTGCTGCTCACTGGCCAGATCGAATCCGGCCACATGGTTGCGATGGGGGACGAACATCGAGTCCAGGTCCAGGCCCATGTTGATGGCCGCGAGCACGTAGTCATTGACGCTGCCAGGGGTGTCAGCGCCACCCAATTCGGTTTGGATCGCCTGGCCAAGCGCCTGGGCGCGAGGGGATGCCACCAGTTTTGCCAGGGCGTTGGGCGGGTCTCGTAGCTCGGCGTCGGACAACGGGGTCTGTTCGAGCAGATAACCAAGGGCACCTTTGCGCGCATCCTCCAGCGGCAGACCGGGCAGACCTGCGGTATTTTTGTCCACCAGCGTGCCGATTTTGCTCTGGTCGGCAACGCTCAAGGGGATCGGCCAGGACAGCCCACCGCCGAAATTGCCCAGGGGCGACTGCAGTGCCCGCTGGGCCACTGCCTCGGCCAAGTACACAACGTAGTGGCGGCGGGTAGGCTGCGCCAGGCGTTGTTCGTTGATAAACGCGTCAAGGTTCACGGTGGTAGCAGTGCCAGAGGCCCGGTGGCGCGGCATCGACCGCGCTTTTAACGCGGCAGCCACGGCCTGTTCATCGGCGTCCGCCGGCAGTTCCTTGACCAGGCTGAAGAGCGCCTGTGCCAATTCGTGCCAGTTACGCTGGTCGGCCAGGGCCTGTTGCAGGCTCTGCGTGCCGGAAGAGGAGGACTGTTCAGGCTTTGCAAGAGCCTGAGCCGTGCTCGCGCCCGACGGTAATCGGGAAACCGATGCCAATGGTGGATTTACCAGGACAGAGGGAGTGGGCAAACGTGGGGTGTTGACTGCATTCATCGCGGGCTACCTGTTGGTCATGGTTGGAAGTGCCTTGTTGACGAACATCCCTGTACCCGAGGCGTGTCATTAGGTGTCCGTTGCAGACAAGAGCGTTCCGCAGAACCGTTTGCCCAAGTTGTCAGCCTATATGTAGATAAATACGAGCAAACATCGCGCGGCGAGGGCGCTAAAGGTGGCTAACCGCCAGGTTTTGTTCCGCTCGTTGCGTCAGAAACATAGCCCTCACTGCCACGTTTGGGGCAAACTCCCCGTTTTTCCGTATTTGGCCAAGGCATGCCCATGACTCCCGCTTCGTCCGTCGATGAAAAGAGCTTTCGTACCCTCCTGAGCCGAAACGTGGCATTGCCCCTGGGTGTGGGCGTGCTCAGCGCGGTGTTTTTCGTGTGCCTGATCACCTATTTGCTGTCGGTGATTCAGTGGGTGGAGCACACCGATCGGGTCATCAACAACCTCAATGAGACGTCAAAGCTGACAGTCGATCAGGAAACCGGCATGCGCGGTTTCCTGATCACCGGCGACGAGCACTTCCTCGATCCGTACGAGGTGGCCAAACCGCGGATCATGTCCGACCTGCGTAACCTGCAGGAACTGGTTGCCGATAACCCGCAACAGGTCGACCGCCTCAAGCGTCTGGAGGCGCTGCAACTGGAGTGGAACAAGTACGCCCAGACGATGATTGATATGCAGCGCCAGAGCGGCGACTACCGCAGCGCCGTCAAGGCCGGACGTGGCAAGCGCCTGACCGATGAGATCCGCAAGGAGTACGACGAAGCGGTGGCAATGGAGCAGCAGTTCCGGATCACCCGCAATGCCGACGTGACCCGTACCACAGTGATCAGCGTCGGCCTGTACCTGGTATTCGTACTGGGTTTGAGCGGTTTTCTTGCCTATGTCGGGCGTAAAAATCTAGTAGCTCTTTCAGAGAGTTACAGCGCAAACCTCGCGTCACAGCAGAAGATTGCTCGGCGTTTGGAGCAGCAAGCGTGGCTGCGTAATGGCCAGACCGAACTGGCCGAGCAGGTGCTGGGGCAACTGACCCTGAACATGCTGGGACGCAATATCCTGCAGTTTTTTGCCCAATACATGGGCTCGGTGGTCGGCGCACTGTATGTGCGCGAAGAACATGGCGGCCTCAAGCGCATCGCCACCTACGGTTTCTCCCGCGAGCAGGAGCAGCAGGAGCAAGCGATCTACAGCGACGAAGGCATTGTCGGCCAGGCCGCGCAGTTGGACCGCCTGATCCGCCTGGACGATGTGCCGGTGGATTACTTCAAAGTCAGCTCGGGCCTGGGCGAAGGCGCTACCCGCAGCGTGCTGGTAATGCCCACCAGTGATGATGATCGCATCAACGGCGTAATCGAACTGGGCTTCCTGCGCCCGCTACAGGAGCGCGATACGGAATTGATGGAGCTGATCGCCGGCAATATCGGCACGTCCATCGAGGCCGCGCGCTATCGCCAGCGTTTGCAGGAGGTGCTGGCCGAAACCCAGCAGCTCAACGAGGAGCTGCAAGTCCAGCAGGAAGAGCTCAAGACCGCCAACGAAGAGCTGGAAGAACAGTCGCGCATCCTCAAGGAGTCTCAGGTTCATCTGGAGACCCAACAAGCCGAACTGGAGCAGACCAACGAGCAGTTGGCCGAGCAGACCCAGACCCTGGCTGAGCAGCGCGACGCCATGGATCGCAAGAATATCGAGCTGAACCAGGCCCAACTGGAGCTGGAAGACCGCGCCGAAGAGTTGCAGCGTTCAAGCAAATACAAGTCCGAATTCCTCGCCAACATGTCCCACGAGCTGCGTACGCCACTCAATAGTTCACTGATCCTGGCCAAATTGCTGGCGGAAAACCCCCAGGAAAACCTCAGTGCCGAGCAGGTCAAGTTTGCCGAGTCGATCTACTCGGCGGGCAACGATCTGCTTAACCTGATCAACGACATCCTGGATATTTCCAAGGTCGAAGCCGGCAAGCTCGAAGTACGCCCGGAAAATTCCAGCGTGGCACGTCTGGTGGACGGTCTGCGGGGGATGTTCGAACCGCTGGCGTCCGATCGCAAGCTGGGTTTCCAGGTGGAGGTGCAAGAGGGGGCGCCGGCCATGCTGTTCACCGACCGCCAGCGTCTGGAGCAGATCCTCAAGAATCTGCTGTCCAACGCGATCAAGTTCACCGAGCAGGGCCAGGTGAGCCTGTCGGTGTCCGGCGCGGCCGAAGGCGGGATTGTATTCACGGTGCGCGATTCCGGGATCGGCATCGCCCCGGACCAGCAAGAGAGCATCTTCGAAGCCTTCCGCCAGGCCGACGGCACCACCAACCGCCGTTACGGCGGCACGGGCTTGGGCCTGTCGATTTCCCGCGACCTGGCCACCTTGCTCGGTGGTTCGATCCACGTCACCAGCGAACCGGGCAAGGGCAGTGTGTTTACCCTGACGTTGCCGGAACAGTACGTCGAGCACGAGGAACAGCCCCAGGCCATCGAACCGCCGCGCCCAGTGGTTGCAGCACCTGCGCCGGTCCCGGTCAAGGTCTCGCCCTTACCGGTGGCCGATGCCGAGCAGATCCCGCGCTTTGCCGACGACCGCGACAAGGCCCCGTTCACCACGCGCTGCATCCTGGTGGTGGAAGACGAGCCGAACTTTGCCCGCATCCTGTTCGACCTGGCCCATGAGCTGGGCTACCAATGTCTGGTCGCCCACGGCGCCGACGAAGGCTACAACCTGGCCGAGCAATACATCCCCGACGCGATCCTGCTCGACATGCGCCTGCCGGACCATTCCGGGTTGACCGTGCTGCAACGCCTGAAGGAACACGCCAGCACCCGGCACATCCCGGTGCATGTGATTTCCGTGGAAGACCGGGTCGAGGCCGCCATGCACATGGGCGCCATCGGCTACGCAGTCAAGCCCACCACCCGTGAAGAACTCAAGGACGTGTTCGCGCGCCTGGAAGCCAAGCTGACGCAAAAGGTCAAACGCGTGCTGCTGGTGGAGGACGACGACCTGCAACGCGACAGCATTGCCCGCCTGATCGGCGACGATGACATCGAGATCACCGCCGTAGGCTTTGCCCAGGAAGCTCTCGAACTGCTGCGCAGCAACGTCTATGACTGCATGATCATCGACCTCAAGCTCCCGGACATGCTCGGCAACGAGCTGCTCAAACGCATGGCCACCGAGGACATCTGCTCGTTCCCGCCGGTGATCGTCTACACCGGGCGCAACCTGACTCGCGATGAAGAAGCCGAACTGCGCAAATACTCGCGCTCGATCATCATCAAGGGCGCCCGCTCCCCAGAGCGGCTGCTGGACGAAGTCACACTCTTTCTGCACAAAGTCGAATCCCAGCTGTCCCATGAACGCCAGAAGATGCTCAAGACCGCCCGCAGCCGCGACAAGGTGTTCGAAGGGCGCAAAATCCTGTTGGTAGACGACGATGTACGCAACATCTTCGCCCTGACCAGCGCCTTGGAGCACAAAGGCGCGGTGGTGGTGATCGGGCGTAACGGCCGTGAAGCCATCGACCGCCTCAATGAGGTCGAGGACATCGACTTGGTGCTGATGGACGTGATGATGCCGGAGATGGACGGCTACGAGGCCACGGCGCTGATCCGCCAGGACCCGCGCTGGAAGAAGCTGCCGATCATCGCTGTGACTGCCAAGGCCATGAAAGACGACCAGGAGCGCTGCCTCGCGGCCGGCTCCAATGATTACCTGGCCAAACCGATCGACTTGGATCGTCTGTTCTCGTTGATTCGCGTATGGCTGCCGAAGATGGAACGCATTTAAGTGGAGCGAAGTTTTTTGGAAAAAAGCAGCGATATTGAGCTGCGCCTGCTGATCGAGGCGATTTACCTCAAGTACAGCTACGACTTTCGCGACTATTCCGGGGCGTCGGTCAAACGTCGCGTGGCCCATGCCATGCGCCAGTTCGACTGCGCCACCATTTCCGCGCTGCAGGAGCGGGTGTTGCATGACCCGGCGGCGTTCATGCAGTTATTGCAGTTCCTGACGATCCCGGTGAGCGAGATGTTCCGCGACCCGTCGCACTTTCTGGCGATCCGCCAGGAAGTGGTACCGCTGCTCAAGACCTATCCGTCGATCAAGATCTGGATCGCCGGTTGCAGCACGGGGGAGGAGGTCTACTCCATGGCCATCCTGCTGCGCGAAGAGGGCTTGCTGGAGCGTACGATCATCTACGCCACCGATATCAACCAGCGTCCTTGGACAAAGCCAAACAGGGCATTTTTTCCCTGGAGAACGTGCGGGCCTACACCACCAATTATCAGCAGGCAGGCGGGCAACGTTCGTTTGCCGACTACTACACGGCGGCATACGATTACGCGATATTCGACAAGACATTGCGGGAAAACGTGACGTTCGCCGACCACAGCCTGGCCACCGACAGTGTCTTCTCAGAAACTCAATTAATTTCTTGTCGTAACGTATTGATTTATTTCAATAAAAAGTTGCAAGACCGAGCGTTCGGATTGTTTCATGAGTCGCTATGCCATCGCGGTTTCCTGGTGCTGGGCAGCAAGGAAACCCTGGATTTCTCCGGCTATAACAAACACTTCGAACCCTTGGTCAAGCAGGAACGGATCTACCGCAAATCATGAACGACGCTGCAGCCAGCCCGATTCGCGGGATTGAAGCCATCGTCGTCGGCGCGTCCGCCGGCGGCGTCGAAGCGTTGTTGGGTATTTTCAGCGAACTGCCTAACGGCTTCGGCTTGCCCATCATCGCGGTGCTGCACTTACCGGATGAACGCCGCAGCCAATTGGCCGAAGTGTTCGCCAGGCGCCTGCGCATTCCGGTGCGCGAAGCCCAGGACAAGCAATCCATCGAGCCCGGTACCTTGTACTTCGCCGGCCCCGGCTATCACTTGTCGGTGGAGCAGGATCGCAGCCTGTCCCTGAGCCAGGAAGAGCGTGTACATCACTCGCGTCCGTCCATCGATTTTCTGTTCACCTCGGCGGCGGATGCTTACGGCCCCGGGCTGCTGGCGATCCTGCTGACCGGCGCCAACCAGGACGGCGCAAGGGGACTGGCCTACGTAAAACAGCAACACGGCACCACTGTTGTACAGGACCCAGCGGAAGCACGCGTGGACGTTATGCCCCGTGCAGCCCTGGCGTTGCAGACACCTGACCATATTCTGACTTTGAGCCGGATAGGCTCATTGCTGGTTTTGCTGGAATCTTCCCCATGTTAAGTACTGTCCAGGCCAAACTGCTGATCGTCGACGATCTGCCGGAAAACCTGCTGGCCCTCGAAGCGCTAATCAAGCGCGAGGATCGCCAGGTTTTCAAGGCATTGAGCGCCGACGAAGCGTTGTCCCTGTTGCTGGAGCATGAGTTCGCCATGGCGATTCTCGATGTGCAGATGCCCGGCATGAATGGTTTTGAGTTGGCCGAGCTGATGCGCGGCACCGAGAAGACCAAGAACATCCCCATCGTATTTGTTAGCGCCGCTGGCCGAGAACTCAACTACGCATTCAAGGGCTATGAAAGTGGCGCGGTGGATTTCTTGCACAAGCCGCTGGATATCCATGCGGTCAAGAGCAAGGTCAATGTGTTTGTCGACCTGTATCGCCAGAGTAAGGCGATGAAATTGCAGGTCGAAGAGCTGGAGCGCAGCCGCCGCGAACAGGAACTGCTGCTCAACCGCTTGCAGGCCACTCAGGCCGAGCTGGAGCAGGCGGTGCGCATGCGCGATGACTTTATGTCGATCGTCGCCCATGAAGTACGCACGCCCCTCAACGGCCTGATCCTGGAAACCCAGCTGCGCAAGATGCACCTGGCGCGAGACAACGCCGCAGCGTTCACTCTGGACAAGATGCACGCCATGGTCGATCGCGATGAGCGCCAGATCCGCAGCCTGATCCGTCTGATCGAAGACATGCTCGATGTGTCGCGTATCCGTACCGGCAAACTGTCAATTCGCCCGGCGCGCTTCGACCTGGCGCAACTGGTCAGCAACTTGGTGGAGAACTTCGCTCCGCAAGTCGCCGCCGCTGAGTCGTCCATGCAGTTATCGGCCGAAGGTCCTGTAGTGGGGCATTGGGACGAGTTCCGAATCGAGCAGGTGGTGACCAACCTGCTGACCAACGCACTGCGCTACGGCGCCAAGAGCCCGGTGGACGTGCGGGTGTACAGCGAACACGGCGAGGCGCGGGTCGAAGTGCGCGACCGTGGTATCGGCATCAGCGAGGAAAACCAGAAGCGCATTTTCCAACAGTTCGAGCGTGTATCGGCCAGTCAGGTTGCAGCAGGATTGGGCTTGGGGCTGTTTATTTCCGAGCAGATCGTCGCGGGCCCACGGCGGCACCATCGAAGTCGAGAGCCGGATAGGCGAGGGCGCTCTGTTTCGCGTGTGTTTGCCCCTTGAACCGGCGGCGTGAACTCAATCGTCGCCTCGACGCAACCTTCTACGTGACCCTATGGTCGTAGTTGCAGCAATTGACCGGACAAAGGCTTCCCATGAGTGAAGATGCACAAGATGTCGTACTGATCGTCGAAGACGACGAGTCCATTATGTTTGTGTTGGGTGAATACCTGGCGGGCCTGGGTTACCGGGTATTGAAGGCGATCAACGGCGAACAGGCTTTCGAAATCCTCGCCACCAAACCCCATCTGGACCTGATGGTGACTGACTATCGACTGCCGGGTGGCATCTCTGGCGTGCAGATCGCCGAGCCTGCAATCAAGTTGCGCCCGGAACTCAAGGTCATTTTCATCAGCGGTTACCCGCAGGAAATTCTCGACTGCGACAGCCCGATCACGCGCAATGCGCCGATCTTGGCCAAGCCGTTTGATCTGGATACGCTGCAAGAGCATATCCAGCGTTTGTTGGCCTGAGCAAAGTCGCTTGGGCGTAATTCAGGCTCTTGCTGAGCCTGAATTCCCATGTGTGAATTTAACTGGCCTGCGCCATCACTCTGGCGTTGATTTGACTGGCAGGTGTGAATGTGACGTCAAAACCTACCTCTGCATTCAAGAAGTTACGAAAAGCTTCGAATTGCTCATCGCCGAGCCGGTGAGCATTTGCCGACCCCACTTTTTCCACTTTTCCAGATTTCCCCGCAAGGTAAAGATCCAGTGTCAGTTGATTGTTGTGTAAAAGGGTGAGTTCGCCATTATCTGCCTTATGGATGTAAGCGGAGTGGGCGATCTCTCCTTTGCTCACACCGTTTCGATTGACAAAAGTGACAACCCCGGACTCAGTGATGTCGGCGGCATTGAGGGTATTTTTAAGGGTGTCGGGGCTGACCCCCATAAGTCGGTAATAGAGTGGTTTAACGGGGTTAGACGTCTGACTCAGAAGAGTCTGGAACGTTTTCTCAGTTATTTTTTTATCTGCCTGCGCGACACGCAGGGCGACTGAGTGACAGACCGTGCTTTCTGTTTTTTTTGTCTAAACTTTTATACAAATGATCGATATTTTTTTTAAGCTCGTCAGTTCCAAGAACTTTGGGCTGAAAATTGTCGAGCGGCAACCCGTAAGCTTGCTGCGTACGAGGGTCTAACGCATGCCAGTTCCCCGTCGTTTCATCAAGTTTGGCGATTACACTGATGTCGTCGATACCATTGGCTGCTTTCAACGTGCCCTGGGCAATCCCGGGCTTTAACGTCTGTGCAAGGGTGTCGGCCTTGCTGAGCCCTGTGTATAGCCGCTTCAACCCACCACCTGCGGCAACGGCACCGCGTTGGGCCAAGCGAGCCGCATCACCCAGCGCGCCCAATGGATTAAGACTTCCAATGGCGGCTCTACCTACGATTTTCACCGCGCGCGCGGCCTTTTCAGCCCAGGACGCACCGGTTTGCAGGACTTTGGCGCTCTTAGCCGCCGCACCGAGCGCCAGAGAGAAGCCAAAGACATCAAACACAAGATCCTGCGCGCCGGCTTCAATCTTGCCCTTTTGAAAGTTGCTAATCGCCGATCTCAAGGGAATGAGGTTGAGCATCGCCTCTCGGCCTTTCTTATAGAAAGGAACTTCACTCTCAAATGTTGTAAGGCCGGTGGCTTCTTTTTCGAATATTTTCAATATTCGCGTCGTCCACAAACGCTTGCGCAATGTAGCGCGTTCGTTCGCTGCTGAAGTTGTCCGGTATATGGTCGGCGTGCGGTTTACTGTCGGCGATATCGGGTGCGTGTGTGCCGGTCGGTTTTATTTCTACTAACCTTGTATGGGGCTCGGTTGCCCTAGGCGGATAGTAGCCAGGCTCACTGCCAATAGCCGTTTGGGAAATACTGCCGCGCTTCATATCGATTTCATATGTACGAGTTTTACCATTACGCCGAGTGCGAATCAGAAGATTGTTATTTTTTCGTTCCTTGGTTTTTTGCGCTCGACCAACAAGGTTGCCGTAGAAGTTGTACTGGTTTTCATAATAAAGTTCATCTGCGCGCATCACAGTGATGGCGCCGAACTCGAAATCCTTGCGCACTTCCAACGGCTGCGTCGATATCAAGTGTTTTACTTGGCTGGCCACGGCTTGCTTCATGCCTTTAAAGTAATTTGGAAGCTCCTCCTTAAAGGCTTTATTGACGTCTTTTAATTGTCCAGCCTGTACTTGGATAGGTCGTATCGATACGTTGCTATCGGACGAGTGCCAATCGAAACCGGGCGGGTTGAGAAGGCGACCCTCCAAATACAGATCAACCACTGAGTAGGGGCCGGGATACTCCCGCTGTTCAGGGAATGACGAGATGCACTTCTTTTCAAACGGTATTTTGTCGCCATATACGCGTTTCAACTCTTGAAGAGCCATCTCCTTGCGCGAGGGCATTGGCGTGGCTTGCGCCTGGGA